GGGGATTCGTTGCGCTGACCAAGTGACACCCTCTATCCGCTAAAGTTGGCACTAACTTCGCCGACAAGCGGTGGTCGCTCGGTCGGTCGGTATAGTTCACTTGCGGACTAAAAGCACGGAGTTTTTTTATATATGATTTGCAGTATGATGTAGGTAATTTATATATATATATATGATTTTTCTCTCTGCGGTAGATAACTTAGATATTTTAAAGATCGGCTGTGACGCTTTGGGCTGAGAACCACCTGCTAGCAATAGGGAAAGCAATTTGTGATATCAGTGAGATTTGGAATTCTGTATGAAGAGAGGAGAGCGAGGGCCATCTTACTCTCCTACAGCCATTTCCAAATGTGTTACGATTTCCAGTGCGACTCCAAAATATTGACACAAGTAGCATGTGCATTATATTTAGATCTGAATTATATTGTCACGTAGAGGGGGTTAACGTGACTAATAATTGTGGGTTCTAGATCTGATGATTGGATTTATTGGACGCCACTATTAGAGTTGCAGTTGATTATAACGGTTCACACAATGAACTCCTCCTTGATAACGAATCTCTCTTTGTATTTGTTCAGTTACTCGGGCTGGTCTCTAGTCTCCCGAATTCTCTATCTGGATCTCTGAATCTCTGACTGGTCTCTAGGCTCTCGAATTCTCTATCTGGATCTCTGAATCTCTGACTGGTCTCTAGTCTCTCGAATTCTCTATCTGGATCTCTGAATCTCTGACTGGTCTCTAGTCTCCCGAATTCTCTATCTGGATCTCTGATTGGTCTCGAGTCTCCCGAATTCTCTACCTGGATCTCTGAATCCCTGACTGGTCTCTAGTCTCCCGAATTCTCTATCTAGATCTCTGAATCTCTGACTGGTCTCTAGTCTCCCGAATTCTCTATCCGGATCTCTGAATCTCGGATTGAGCTAACTTCAGGCGGGCCGAATATAGTTCACCTTCTCCAAGGGTTCCACTGCTGTGTTTCAGGAATGCGTTGCCTCGAAAAACTCATGTAAACATTTCCAAGCGACCGTTTCGTTTCTAAGCGTTTACAGCTTGTTACCTGGTGACGGCACGTTCGCTGCTGTACTTTGTAACAGGAATGGGAGCGGGAACGTTGCTGAGCAACGGATGTATGATTCTGGCTCCACTATTCCGGCTTTCAGCCGTCACGTCAAAATATTAAGATGGCTAAAATTCATAGAAAAATTAGCTTTAAGTTAGTTTTCCAGACACTGCGAGGAAGTAAGTTTATAAACACGAAATATGGCATGAGATTGCTATACATTTGTCGTCTGTTTAAGTAACAGCAAATGGCACCCTGTCTTCTCTTACACTAAATTCTAAAGACCAGTTTGGCACATGTCGTATTATTTGTAAACCTTCGATGTTTTCCTGACTACATAAACTGAAGACAGCAGATAACAGAAGAGAGTACGTTCTGCAAGCAAAATATAAATATTCTCTAATTAGTTTATTGCTGAATCCTGCGCTCATTCACTCATCATCTCTGACAATTAGCAGCGACGAGAATCCACAAAATGGAGGAAAAAGAAAGCGCAATATAAAACATGTCGGTGGCAAACTCTGACGCATTTCAGTAGGAATTATTCTAGAATTTCCCTTGAGACGCTACGAAACCTGTAATAATTTACACATACAAAACATGCTGTGTCAGTGGGTACTGAAGGCGGATGTGGGAGAAGAGTGGGGGGACGGAACTTCGTCTGGCAATGGAGGTAGTCCACACGGTTATTAGGTACAGTAACGGTAGCTCCAACGTACGTTCAGTTCTCTTCGGACAGTATATACATCACTTATATACACCTGGACGTTTATATATCCGTAGTGCCCAGTGACATATTTCTGCAACCAAAGCGTATGTTGGTGTGAACAAATACTGCAAGTCATGCAGCCTTTCTAATTCAACAGTCTACACGTAGGTTCAATATCTGACATAGCTTAATACGCCACTGGCAGATAACGTTTAATTTGTCTCGTCTTAATATAACAAAGAATTCTCAAATTATGGCTCAGTGACAGGTCTTTACTCCTTTATATTTATCACCTATGTTGTGTGCAAGTAGGATCTGTTGAATAAGAACCAATTCCACTTTAATTGGGAACACAAATAGAGTTCGTGTCTCATAAGAGTGTATTCCATGTGATAAATTGAATAATTGCATTAAAAAGTGGATTCGTGTAAGTATTCTCTCCGTGTTTGTTTATTTCAGTAATCCGAGAATATTTTAACATCTTAAACAAATATATTTTGTACGACGCGAGGGCTGGCACTTGAAGTCTTCCTTCCCATATTCCTTTGAATCTATAATTTGTTCGGGTTATACGGTAGCTTCATAATGAAGCACTGACTACTCGTACCAGGATCCTTGCATTTAATAATATTTACTGTAACAACTAAAACATCAATAAACTTATATTCATATAGAGGAGTAATAACTGACGAGAATTAATATTTTAATCAGATAATTCTACCAGAATAAGAAAAAGTTGCTCTAATACCGTTTCTATGCACCACAACTGTCTTTAATAACTTAAGGGGTCTCTGTTCCTTGTTAGTATCTTCAGTTTAATCTGTGATCATATAGTAAAAAATATTAGCAATGTGCTCATTCGGGATGAAATGCACATTTTTTTATTCTGCAGTGAAGATAAAGTCTAACTCAATAATATAGCTCCACGGGGCTGAGTCAGTCTTGAGAGTAAAATAATTGTACAGAGACACTAATATTTGATACTTTTATCTTCTAGTAAGAAAATAGGGGGGTCACGCGGTAGCGTATTTGGTTGAGGCACTATGCTACAAGCCGGAAGGGCGCGGGTTCAAGTCCCGATGAGGTCGTTGGATTTTTTTCAATTGACCTAATCCTTCCAGCCGCATTATGGCCCTGGGGTCGACTCAGCCTCTAACATAAATGAGTAGCAGGAATTAATTAAATAATTTTTCTGGGGAGTAAAGCGCGGCCGGCGCGTAAGGCTGACAACCTTACCGCCATCTTTGAGCCGACTGTCTAGATAATGTGGGAGCCTCAACGTCTCACAACCCTATGGGCCTTCACGGCCTGTTACAGGGGTATCTTTACTTTTTTAGTAAGAAAATATGCTCATTTCTGTTAGAGGCTGAGTCGACACCAGGGCCATAGTGCGGCTGGAAGGATTAGATAAATTGAAAAAATTCACCTTACTGGGATTCGATCCCGCGATCTTCCGGCTTATAGCATAGTGCCTGAACCAACTACGCTACCACGTGCCCCTTCTAAAAGTAGGGTCGTCTTATATAAGGGCTTATACGGTATTTAATTTTGTCTTCACGAATTTTCTACACGAATAAATTAATATGTTCCCTAATAAATATCGCAGACTTAACGCGTTACTTCCTACAAGCAAATTTTACCTGTTATCCAAGAGTGAAATCAACTTTCATCCAATAACATTTCACAACCAAAACGTTATTCGAAACGGGAGATGTCCCGCAGTAGTCAAAACAGTTCGTTGGGTTAAGGTTTCACTATCAAAGACAAGACAACATCTGTACCATATAGAATAATAACAGTTCCCGTTTGATTTTTCTTTTTTGCCGGCAAAATTATCGCAGTTGATAGAATATTATCTTAGAATGTGTCCGGATAAGGTTGCCTACATTATCCGGAAACCAGAGGCATCTTCAGTGGTGTTACGTAGTCCAGATGATACAAATCTTGATGCCACAATCAGTCACTCTGCTTCAGCATTTTAGCAATGCTAGAAAGAATCTTCAACGTCGAGACACGAAATACAGCATTTAATAAATGCAGAAAGTGGGCACATTGTAACAAAATGACGAGGTAAAGGTGACTCTGTTACTGAACGATTGCAGTTGGTCCTTTATCTTCATGCGTAGATAGTATAATTCTTCTGGTGCTGAGCCCTTTGCTACATGATGAAAATTTACATATAAGGTAGGAAAGCACAGCAGTAAATTGCTGCTGGCACTCGCCAGTACAGTCATTCTTGTTTCTGGGCCCCGAAGAACCCATGATACATATCTTTCTGTCTCAAGATTTTGCTCGGCGACACTCTACGAGATTCGTCAGTTCCTCTTCGTACTCTCGTTTCAGGGTATTCAATTTGCGAAATTTTACAAAGTTTCTTGACCTGCGGTGTTCTCTTGTAGAGCAAAATGTATGCTTGCATACTCAGTCGAATTCAACTTTATGTCACTATTCGGTAAACTGCTATTATTTTATTACCTTAGGGCTTATCACCTTTAGCATTAGTACATATAAGGTATTTCAGCAAGTATATTATTCTTTCAGAATTACTGGGTTTTTTTACTTTTCCAATCGTCCGCTATTCTAGAAACTAGAATACACAGCGTTTTGGAAACTGGATCTGTTTCCGTCCTCAGGTTAAAGTGGGAAGGCACTTATTCAGTTGGGTCCCTTAGAAAGAACTAACCTCAATCACTGAATCTGACAAGGGTTGTCCAGTGATTGAAGTTAGCTCTTCCTAAGGGATCCAACTAAGTAGGTGTCTTCCCCCTCACCTGTGGATTGGAACAGATCAAGTTTTTTAGAATAACGGACGATGGAAAAGTCCAAAACCCCCGTAATTCTACGTGTTTTACACCATCGTCAATGTCTTTAGAATCTAGATTATTATATCGTAACGTCTGTTTAGAACTATTCTCAGAATAATGAACACAAATGGAATTTCTGCGATTTAAAATAGCCGTTAGTATCCAGTCAATAGCACTACTGCATGTAGATGTCGCTAGTGGGGGAGAAATAATGATGTTAACGAGATAAATATTTCTGCGCATGGCAGCCACACTAATTTTCACTCCTTATCTTCCATACAGATGATTTCAATGGTTCGTATATTTTACATTACTTCATGTGACATATTTATTAATAAAATATTTACAACCTGGAGTAACTCGCAGAAACTGTGATCCTCTTACATTGTGTAGTAAGAAATTCAGAATTTAACAGATTACACCATAACTTTGTCACAATACGCAATGAAAGCATTCCTTTCTGTGCTTAAAAGGAATATGACTATATTACGCCAGAAGTTTTCACTACAAATGAACTCCATGAAGACTTTAAAGTGTGTTATATTAAATGTGTAATATAGTGTCTATATTTATTTATATTATTACTTCTATCTTAAAAATTATTACATATTTCTATAACTGTGTTCAATTCACTGCTTTCTGCATTTTCGAAATTGAATTGGAGCAAAAAGAATATCAATATATTTGCAACACCCTGAAGAACAGGGCTATATCGGAGAAAAACTTTTGTGATTTCATATTTGCAACACCCTGAAGAACAGGGCTATATCGGAGAAAAACTTTTGTGATTTCATATTTGCAACACCCTGAAGAACAGGGCTATATCGGAGAAAAACTTTTGTGATTTCATGTAGTTTGAAGTACATGAAAATAATATAATTTTTATGCTTGAATGTGTTTTGATCTAATCATACTCGGCAAAAAATTAAAAGTACTACATTCTGTTCTTACGGGACTTCGAATAAGATAAATAAATAATACATCTAAAGTGAATGTTAGTACAGCTTTAGGGGCGAATTGCAGAGATTTCCCAACAAATTGAATATAGGCCATAATATAATAATAATAAGAAGGAGAAGAAGAAGAAGAAGCAGTAGAAAAGGAGAAGAACCGAGATCTAGTTGTTAGTTACTTTGTTAGTCGCTCAGCTAGTATTTCAGCCATTAGATTGGAGAATGGAAGTGACACCCGCCCTGCTTTCAAAAGTAGTTAGTCTCTTCTGTTAATAACGAAGTCACAAAAAACACCACAATGACATTGACAGTTTTAATCAAAATTTCTCAAATAAAAAATATTATATAACTATTCACGCGCGACTATAAACATTTTTAGTCACTGAATAAGATTTCAAGCAATAGGATAATTTTCAAATATTATTACGGGATATAAGATTTGAGTTTCGATGGCAAAGAGTATGCATTGTAATGTGAGATTCGCACTGTGTAAGCTTGAAGGTGTATATGCTCCTTAGAGACTACAGGTGTTGCAGCCCAGAGGACACAGTCTGACTATCAAGTGGTCTCAAGCCTCCCATTTGAACATCTTTTTATGACATTTGCACCTCTTTAAGTATTACTTAATAACATCCTACGACTGGAATGTCTTTAAGGGCTAGATGGTATATAAAAGCCACTGTCAAGCAATTAATCACTACACACCCTTGTCAAACGTTATACAAACTGCAAATAGTTGCGAATGTAGACATAATACCACGCAGCATAAAATGCTTACACTTTGTGAAATTATATATACCAAACGTACGCCAAAATGAAATCTGTATCTTTTTAAGGTTCTCGGTCGTAGCTATGAAGAATTCTACTTCCTGGTATATAACATGGTGTGGTACAGCGAAAGTTAATCCACGTGCAAGGAGAAAGATCGGATGACTAACAACGTAATACAGGGCAGCATATCCCAAAAGGCAGAATTCTTTATTTACTCTTTGGTGCTGAATATGAAGAGCTGATATCACGTGGTGTAAATTTTCACTTATGACTAATACGTACACTTATTTCTTTTAATACTAAAGCTTAAAGTCTAGCCCGTCAGCAACACAAGTTGCAGTGCAGCATCTAGGTCTCAAGTCAGAAGTACGGACATCTGAATAATATTCTGTGGCGTACAGACCCGTTGCTAATCGGCGACTCTGTAAACAAAGACCGTTTCTGGGAAAAGGCTCTGTAAACACATTCTCGCGGCAACGAATACGCATTCAACAACAGAGTTACTGTTGGAAGTGGAGTGTTTTCTATGTGGTCCGTAGCGAGATGTTATAACCAGGACAGTTGGAGCAATAAGTTCAGTTGTGAGTAGTATTCGCCAGCGGGTAGATGTGTGAAAACAGAAACTGAAGAATCTCCATTGCTGAAAGCTGTTACAAAGTAACGGCTAGGGACGACTATATAAGGCTGAGGAAGACTTAGCATGTAGTGATTTGTAGAGCGTGTAAATTAGTGGTGGCGCTGTAATTGCTTGTAGTTTCGAGTTGTGTGTATAAATGGTCAATAAATCCATTCACCAATCCAAACCCCCTCTACAGTCACATGTACACGTGACAATATAAAGGCCCCTAGTCAACTTATTCCATGCTTTATAATTTATTTTACTGAAACTCTTCTTTGCGAGCACCAAAGACATAGATACTATTATAATATTACAATTTCCTTATAATATCGTCACAACTTATGGAAAACCATACAAATAAATAGGCTTGTGTTATACATATGTCACATAACTCAGTGTGACATGGAGTATCTTTTACGATTTATATAGCGAAAGCCTGTCCATGTGAGTCAAGTATCATTCTTCCTACTGACTTTATCGATTGACTGTATATCAAGATCGGACACCTATAATGTATTACCTTCTGTTCCGAAAACCGAAATTAACGGCCGTGGGGATTCGTTACGCTGACCACTTGACACCCTCTATCCGCTAAATCTGGCACTAACTTCGCCGACAAGCGGCGGTCGCTCGGTGGGTATAGTTCGCTTGCGGACTAAAACCATGGAGTTTTTTCGGCAATCTATTCCTCGACTGGCTGAGAATACTGTAAGTGAACTAATAAGGCCTTCTCCTCCTCTACTCAAATTTCACAACTGTGAGTTACAAAACCAATTATGTGCCCTTCATTTAATTCGCAATAACATTAATGTGTTGTAACGCATACGCTTAACTGAAAGACTCATTCTCTTTTGAATCAGAAAATAATCATACATCGATAAAGCGACCACACACTTCTCATCGCGGTGCGAAGAATCTCTGCCGGAAACCATGGACAACGTAACAGAGGCCGCAACTGAAGAGAAGACGCGTCTTTACTTCGGATGGCTGGACTTCACCGTCTTCGGTCTCATGCTCGGTTTTTCGGCACTTATAGGAGTCTATTTTGGATTTTGTGACAAGAAACAGGAAAGCAGAGTAGACTACCTCTTCGGGGGTAAAACCATGAAAACTCTGCCAGTTGCTGTCTCTCTTGTAGCAAGGTAAGTTCTGATATTTATATAAACCAAGAGTCTGTGACTGGTCAGCAGATATTATTACCTCAGGACCTTCCAGGTTATATGTAACAATGGGCGTTATTAAAGCACAATAAACAGAAAAGACTTCATAATACGGAAGCGAGATATACGGTCCGCCGACTGCCCGCGACAGAAGCCCCCTGAAAGTGTTTAATCCGTTGAGAGGCAACGTTAAGGAATTGGCCACAGTGCGGCCACTGTTTTACTTTCTGATATACAGTATAAGAAATATTGTAATTACGTAAAAGTGTAGAGGCAAATCTAAATTTTGACAAAATTTCGTGGTTCCCGAGCACAGATATATTTTAATTTACTATAGTTACAAAAAAAACCTGCAATATCTTCGTTTGTATAACAATTCAGTTACGAGCTAGAAAGCTGAGGCATCAGAATTCGATTCCCGGTACGATAACAGATTTCTCTCTTCTCTGTATCTTCTTGGGCCCATTCAGAACCCTATACAATCTGTACTGGCTGCTCTTTGCCCTGTGGTAAAGCGGCAGGGACGTGAAGCTAATCATTCACATCCATGTAGTGCCGATGTTAAATAATTGTGGAGCTATACATCCAGTTCCTCATTTATCTTCATGGCGTGGTGCTTAATTAAATAAACCCACGGATAAATTTATCTTTCTATCTTACTTCCAAATTGGTTTGGGAAAGCCAAGTTTTTAATGTCCTTGTCAACATGGCCGATCACAATTTAGGAGATTATTATTAATATAAACTCTATGTATTGTAGCAGGAGCCGGAATGGCTCAGTCGGTATAGCGAAGAGCTATCGGCTGGACGGCCAAGGTTCAACTCCCAGTAGGGAAGAAATGTTCATCTATTCCACAGCGCCTAGACAGGCTAAGGAGCCCACCGAGCCTCTTATACAATGGGTACCGTGAGCCCTTTCCCCCTGAGTAAAGCGGCCAAGGCGTGAAGCTAACCACTCACCTCCATCCAGTACGAGGTTAAGGATGATGGAAATATATAACTGCACTCCCCCATACATCTTCACGGCGTGGTGCTTAATTAGTTAAGCACAGGGACAATTTTAGCTTTACCATGTGCCTTTTGGCTGAACAGCAAAGCAAGTTCAGTCCTGGAAGACATCTGATAATCATTTAATAATTTCCTTTGTAGCTTCCTTGTTCGCAGCCTGCTCACCATCAGCTACTCAAGGTGCATAGTAGTAAATTGCGGTCCCCTTGCAGCAATATTCCTCACACTACCCATTTCGTTCTGACTGTCCAATAGGCATAGTGTCTAATTAAATTAACAGTTATTAGGATATTGGAAAAGCCTACTGAAATTCAGCGGTGAATCATTCCTTCATATCTTCATTATGCGCCCCATTTCTACATTTCCTTCATTCCTTTCATACCTTTATCTTTTTCCCTTCTTTGGCCTTTTAAAAGGTGACTTAACATAATCTCTATCCTTCATAGAGCTGCCACATGTAAGAACAACACGTGCTCTATTGCAGCCATTTTTCTGGAATTACACTGATGGGGGTTCCGTCTGAAGTATATTACCATGGAACACTCTATTGGCTGGTCAATGTGTCTTCCGTTATTGTCGCTGTTATTATTAACTACGTCTATCTTCCCGTCTTCTACAATCTTCAGCTGACATCATCGTACGAAGTAAGTAAAGCCAGTCAGCGCTTATAATCCGTCACAAAAACATTCATTGGAATCAGCCCGGGACAGAAAATAGCATGAAATATACACATATCAAGTACGCATATTACTACTTGAAATATATATCGTAAAAATGATCAATATATTTCGACAGCAGATTGAAACAATAAATTCCTTGATATTTGCACTAATAATAAAAAAAAAGTGAAAATTATTTTTACGAACAATATGACAAATTCAGTAACAAATTTCGTCAAAGTACGCAGCATGTAAAAGAGTCAAAGTAAAAGCAACACTATTACGATTCATTTAAATTTGTGGAATATACTCTCTAAATTTGTTTGGATAGCGTAGTCGGTATAGCGACTGGCTACGGGCTGGACGACCGAGGGGTAGGAGTTCGAGTCTTGGTAGGGTCAAGAATTTTTTCCACGTCGTTCAGACCGGCTCTATGGCCAACCCAGCCTCATACCCATTGGGTACCAGGGGTAAATCAGCAGGGGGTGAAACTGACCTCTCACCTCCAGCTAGTGCCGAGGTCGAGAAAATGTAGATTTATACATCCATTCACCCATAAGGCTTCACGGCGTAGTTCTTAATTAGTTAAGCAGAGGGGAAACTTTTTACCTTTACCTTTTAAATCTGATCATATATAAATCCTTTATAAATGCTTTTCACAAAGTGTGGTCGGCGAATGATAGTTAGAATTGCAGAATTGCTGGGTTTTCGGACTTTTTACATTGTCCGGAATTCTAGGTACTAGAGGACGCGACGTTTCGGAAACTGGATCTGTTTCCGTCTTCATGTGAGAAAGGAAGACATCTACTCAGTTGGGACCCTTTGAAAGAGCAAATCTCAATCACTGGGGCCCAGCTGAGTAGGCGTCTTCCTTTCACAGCTGAGGACGGAAACAGATCCAGTTTCCGAAACGTCGTGTCCTCTATTACTTACAATTCCGGACCATGGAAGAAGTCCAAAAACCTAGTAATTCTAAATAGACTTGAAAGGATTCTGACGATGATGTATGCTGCACAGAACTGTTCGGCTTATTTTGGACTCTATCCATTGGCTGGTATATAGGACAAAAAACCACAACGTTTCGGAGACAGGATCTGTCTCCGTCCTCAGGTGGATGAGGCAGGATAAAACCACTCAGTTGGGCCCGTTAGAAAGCGCTAGTCTCAATCACTGGACCTGAGACCTGAGACGACTCGTCGTTTACATTCCCTACTGTACGGACAACACTTTGTAGGATGAGGCACCGACTGAACAATTAATATTAACATCTACATAACGAGCGTCCTATAAAATCTTATATACAAAAAGAAAAAATATAGAATATTCCAATTTGTCCATGGGAGCGTATGAAAATACAAAACCAACGACTGATTTGATGCTATAAAAGATCAATTAAAATTTTATTCTTGTTTCATACTATAACTTCTGTTTTTTTATATAATCTGATTTATTGTATTTTTTTACGTCAAGTGTTTTATATGTTTAATAGTATTGTATCCATTTTAATAATACTGCAGTTTAGTGGTGTATATATGTTAAACATGTATTTGCCTGATGATGGCTACTGATAGCCGAAACATGTAGCAGAGCCGTAGCTGGGCACTGATCTTGATATTTGTTGTGTTGTGACGGTTAATAAAGAATTGTATATTGTAACACAACAGGATGCAAGAAATGAAAACTAGCTCCTTTCTTATCGAACCCTTGAAGGGAATCAGGGGTTACTACATTGCCTCCTAACCAAAAGGAATTCCGGATGACAAAAATATATTTAATCTCATTAAAATTCTCCAATCTTATCTCGGTAATAAAAACTCTATTATTAACGCTTATCACTTAGTGATGAGAAAGATAAATTAAATTCGCCACAAATTTCCATTATATTGTTGTCAAAATATAATTAAAATTGTGATTGCCTTAGGACCTATAATACTTGTAATCATATTCAAATTATAAGCACAATGTAAGCAATATGAAAACCTGAAGAAAGCAGTCTTCTCAGTCTTCTTTTACCGGTTCTCACGGTCTCATCGCTTGCAGATTTATATGTTTTCTTCTACCCTGAAGATGGAGGCGATACGTTCCTCCGAAACGTCGGTTAAGACCACATATACACGGTGCCAAATCCCAGAAGACTGCTTTCTTCATAGTCACCGCCGTGAAAGCCTCAAATCTTACAATATAAAACCTTTTCTTAATTAATATTGTAATGCATTTCAGTACCTTCAGCTACGTTTCAACAGAAGTGTTCGTGTAATGGCCTCTGTGCTCTTCACCATCTCATTGCTGCTTTATGTTCCTTTGGTCATCTACGTACCAGCGTTGGCCTTCAGTTACGGTAAGAACTGTTAGTGTTTTCACACGATAATTCATGGACTTAAAAAGTACGGAGCTAACCGGCCCGCTCTAAATCAACTGATTCTAAATTATATTTCCGCAAAATATTTCAAGTCGGTTGTCTTCATTTCGCATAAATGATTTCATTACAAATCTATATTGTCACCAATATTTCCATACAGCCCTTAATTTTAAATTCTGGCATTCCCTTGTCCTTGTTCAAGCACACACAAAAGGGTATACTCTAGACCATGAAGATGGAGTCAGTATGTTTCTCGAAGAATGGTTCACTTTCAACGGACTACACGGTGATATATCCCAGAAGATAGCGCTCTTCTTACCGAACATATTCAATTTTTTCAATTATTTCGTCTGCTATGTGTATTTATAATACTAATGACCATGCATTCCTTACATTTGATGTTAAGCTCCATTGAAAACAATAGGATAATGTACTTAGCAATAAGATGCTTGTTGCCTTTATCCAACAACCTCTTTAAATAATCCGATAATTGAATGTGTTTGGAGAGAATGAATTGAATCGTGACCGACGTCAGAGTTCATTTTGACGAACCAACGTGAAAGCAGCACATGTTACCCGCTCGTGTGTTTAGTAATTGCCCTGAACAAGAAAACAATCGATTTTCTTTAATTGTGTTCGTTAATATTTTGTACAGTACAATCTCTCCAGTGGAGGAAACGGAGAGTTCATTTGTTGCCACTGATCGAAATAACTTTCTTCACTGGTAGTTACAAGGAGGGGTCTCATTACTGAACTACTGTTTGTGGGCACACAACGATTGGATTAATGAATTTTTCAGCACTGTAAGTGCCATATGTTAATACGTAGTGTTGAATATGTTGCAGATGGCAAATTGTTGCTCATTGGTTACGCTTTCTAAAGAATACGGGCATTGATTTTGCTTATGAAGTAAACATCTCTTTTACTCTTTCGCAATCTATTCTCAAAATCACAAACACTCAACCGAATAATGTTCATAATTGTCAACCAACACCTAAACTCGCTAAGAAACTGGAAGCTTTCCAGGCACCAACAAAATAATTGAAGTTTATTTCGGTAATTTATTACTCTGAAGTTCAGGAGATCAATACAGTGCAGCAATTCGATATTTTCATCATAAACAAATACATCCACTTGTGGAAGAGATTTGATTTTCAAAGAAAACTTATCTATGGGAGTGATTTCCGATCTTCATAGGTCATAAATAGGCTAAGTCGTCAGTCCACAGTAAGGAAGAGAACACAAATACGTCATCAGATTATGTCATTAATATCCTCCACGCCTTGCGGGAAATATGGAATGTATAGGATTAAATTGTCACATTACACGTTTCACATCATCGGCATGATGCGTTACATCTCAACAGCACATTCGATATGAACACTTGCACAGCTGCAAAACATGAAAGAAAATGTTAAAATCGCGCGAATGATAGGGGGAACGCAGAGGTTACATTGTTAATGAAAAATTATGGTTGCGTTTTACATCAGGAACGAGGAAAAGCCTTTGCGTCATAAATCAATCACGTGTCATTATTCTGCAACATTATATCACCTTACAAAAAATTACTTAATGGGGTGGATTATAACTGAAGAAATAATGAAACTCCTTCCCGTTTAAGAATGACATTGATAAAAGTAGAAATTCACCACCGCGTTTTATAGTAATTCACACAATCATGTCAGTTTAAATTCACTGCCAAATACCGTGATTACATAAACTACTTAAAAATTTCTAAGCTAATTTCTTAACGATCCATATATTCTTCAGCATAATCTTCGAAAATATCAAAGGTGTTGTACATTTAGTTCAACTTGAGGTTGTTCATTTAAAATTTTAAAATGTTCTAGTCAGAAACACAATTATTTTAAACAATTGTTTCTTTATCAAAACTTACGTAATTCTTTACAATATTATTTTAGTCTCGTTGCATTCAGATAATTTCATTAGAGGTAAAACGTGTTTTTCTATCCATGCCTCGCCAAAAGTTTGTTCCAAACTGACTCAGTAGACATTTTCAGAAGTATCCAATTTTATTAAATAATTTTTACATTTATATTGACGTTAAATTATTTCTTAAAACCGTACGCCTCTTCTGTCACAGCCAATATGTGCAAGTAGAATAGCCTTCATGAAAAAGTCCGAGTTATGTTAAGAGGAGGCCGCGCCATAGCTCAAGCGGTTAGTCGCTGGCTTCCCACCGCGGCTGCCCGGGTTCGATCCCGGGTCTGGTCAAGTGGGTTTTGTGGTGGGCAAAGTGGCGCCGTGGCAGGTTTTCTCAGAGTGCTTCGGTTTTCCCTGCCAATCTTCATTCCACCAAATTCACCATCATCATAATCACCCGGGGCAGGCTACAATAGGCCAATCAGTGGCCGCCGTGCCGAGTGGACCCAGTTGGACTCCACCCCCACTATGCGAATTTTATGTTAAGAGGATGTGATCACTGTAGTTCCTGTCCACTCAGTTACGATGCTGGCGACTTCGAGATCTTTGTCCATCCATAAAAGAGATTCCCCGATGAAAACAAATAAAGTATGTGATTCGATATTCCTGTATGAGAGCTTAATCATCCACAAAAGACGGACGTCATACTATAATAGCAATGATATTAGAGAACTTGATGTATGTGGACTACATTGGCTTTATAGTTTCGTAAATTTAATGATAAATTTATTGTTTGCGTTGCAGTTAGCGGTCTGAATATCCATGTCATCACACCGGTGGTCTGCATTATTTGCATATTCTACACAATGTTGGTGAGTCTGGACAGAGCCAGGTAATAAACAACAACACCGAAAAATGCCGCACGATTATCCATTTGGCACCTGTATAAGAGCAATGATGAAGTTGAGCGTACATAGGCCTACGTATCACTAAATGCGGCCCACTGCCGGTTACTTCAGAAGTTCCACAATATATCAGGATCGTAATGAAGTTCTAAAAGAGTTTGTGACGGTAATACGTCAGCACAAATATTATGCTTCGGGACATTACCAATCGTCCTATTTCTATCTAAAACATCGTCCTATTTGTTTTTAAAGACACGACGTTTCAGAGACTTCTTCAGGTAAAACCTCCTCAGAACCGGATGTAATCGGTCATTACCTACCGACGAGAATTTCATAAATTTATATTTGTTACTTAGTACCAATTTTATACTAAATGTAACTTATGCCCAGTCTTGCATTAACTGTTCTAAGAATTCGCAATGCGCAATATGCAGATAAGAGCTACTAGAAGGTTCTGTAATAGCCGGTACAGTATTCGAATCACTACTCATCTCACTGCCAGTCTGATAAAGGAAACTTCCAGAATGTTCCCGAATTATGAAAGAGTAGAAGCTTCGAGTATGATCTGGAAGGAGAAAGTTCTGGATGTTACGTCATCTCACAGTATTTAAAGGGGTTGATCCCCAGATGATAGTACTCAGTAACTCAGTAAACCAGAGCAGAGCATTACGACCGTGGCCGATCAGTTTGGCAGCCAGTGAGTGACGTACCTCATCCACCGTACTGTAACATATCGTTGTCAAGCTTGAAGTAGTGTACAGTGAGTGCCAGAAGTGCAACTGTAATTAATTGTGACTGCCGTTTGTAACCGTGTAGTGCTGTCAATAAAGAAGTGTATTTATTAATATCGAGTTGTGATCCAGAGACTTCTTCACCAAGAAGTCCTCTCTCGTCGAAGCAAGGCCCGTTAAGCCCTGGGGAGAGAATCTCATTGCTCAACCCAGAACTCTATCCTCTTTCTACCCCAAAGCATCTCGACGTGGTTCCCAGACCACGCAACGGCACCCTATCAACTACGAAGGTTCAGGACGGCTAACGGGGTGCCAACGCAAAGCCCCAATAAAAGAACTCTCACAAGTGGCGCCCAACGCAAGGTCTCGACCGAGGGACTCTCATACGGAGATAGGGAGTAGCCTTATCGATTGGACCTAACTGAGCAAGTTTTACCTGAAGACGGAGACAGAAATTGAGTCTCCGAAACGCTGTGGTTTAAAATAAAAAGAGGACGGTGATTTTAGATAAAAAAAGGGACGATGGATAATGCCCAGAAACATAATATTTATTTAATGAACGTGATCGCATTAATTATATATTAACCAGATGTATGGTGTACTAAATCACGCTTTGTTTTGCTTGGCAGGGAGGCTTAAAAGCTGTGGTCTGGATCGACTTCCTGCAATCAGTAGTTATTGTAATCTCAAGCTTCGTTATCATTTTCGTAGGCGTTATCAAGGCTGGCGGTCCGGGAACTGTGTGGCAGAGGAGTTCAGAGGGTGGAAGGATTCAGATATTTGAGTAAGATATTACCATTTGAATTATGAAACTCATCTAAATGATGCTTAAAATGTAGTTCCTACCCCTAAGGAAAAGAACAGCCTTCATTACAACCGGTTAATCGGAGAAGCGTATGAAATACTGCACTCTGGGAAGAATCAAGTGATTCCTTTATTTAAAGCATGGGTTGTACAAAACCCAGTAACCACCGTGATTTGAAAGATTTTTATTATTATCACGTTTAGGGTGGTACGCGTGACGAAAATAACGGGTTCTAGTTCGGATGATTGGATTTATTAGCACTTTGGTTACAGTCTCTCTTAGTTACAATTACTACAGCGCTTCGTTGATTTACACAATTTACAGCCCACCGTTGCACACGCACTAGAATTCTCAGTTTCCACTAGTCGTCTCCTGGCAACGGATCTCAACACAGAAACTAACACTTCAAATCACTATGAACTCTTCTTGTAATTTCGTCTTCAATCACTCTGTACTCCTCTGTCTTAATCTGTACCCAACTAATCTTCACAGTTCACTAAGGGCACGCTCCATTCTCGTCCTTGTGCTTTCAACGCAACCCTCCTGGACTCTTTAACTAATCCAAGATACAAGAGGTCTTCGTTTTATAGGCTCCGCATGGACAAGGCTGGATGTTTGACGCACTTACTAACATATCTGCAGCAAGCGGGAATTTCAAATTACTCATTCACGAATCACACAAAATGACATAAACAAATACGAACTCCCGATAAGAATGTATGTTAATACTTTTCACATAATATTACAAATTGCGCCAACATCATTAAAACATATCTTGTAAGTAAAAGTAGCAAATATTAGAAACGTGTGTTTAATACATAATGTTTTATTATTTAAGGCTTCCTTATTAAAAAGAATTTTGGATTCTACAATAATATTGTCATCAATTTTATTTCTACGTTTTAATCCATTTAGAACAACGACCATTATCAATGATTCTAGAAGAGTTGGTGACATAATGGGCAACAGTTATACAAAATTTACTGCAGCAACACTTGCCTACAGAAAAATGATTCAATTCGCTCTATCTCAGGTAAAACTACTGCGTACGAAAGGGACTATCGATTTTAATGTTTCCACTATATTTGTAATTATTACATAATACTATCTGTATTGTTTCAATTCAAATGCGAGTTTCTTCTTTTCTCGTTAATTTGAATATATTAACTTATAATAAATCCTCGAATATTTTATCTTCTAAGAGTAAAGGGCGTCTCGAGTCGTAATATAAAATTTTGTTTTCTCGCAGAATGGATCCCAGTCCTTTTGTGAGAGCCACGTTTTGGAACGTTATAATTGGGAACATATTTTCGTGGCTGAACTACTGTGCAGTGAACCAGGGAATGATTCAAAAGTTCCTTGCGCTTCCAAGTATTGCAAAAGCGAAGAAGTAAGTATGCTGCTTTCAATGCACGTTCTACATCCATACACACATGTATGTCTGTAACGGTATAAACATCACACAGTCACGTCTTCATTTTACATCGTGTGCACCTTATGTAAAATTCGGAATCAATATTCCATTAAAGCGTTTCTTACATATTTTAAAATACATTATAATTAACTGTACATAAAAACAGCAATTCTTTTTTAACTTTTCACATTATAGTTACGACTAATTAACTTGCTTGGTTTGTGGTAATAAAAGTGATTAAGTATTAAACTGCATTATGAAAATAAAGGAATAAATACACACAGGGCTTGCACCGCAGATTCCCTAGCAATATCATCCATGGAAACTTTTAAAGTAAGAAAATATTACAATTTTTAACAGTATTAGTTTCTGAACTATTACGCATGATGTCTGGTATAAATGTACAGATATTTAGTAAGGAATTACTCCCTCCATCTTCAGGGTCAAAGAGTATGCCGAGGAGGCAAACATGTAAACAGACCTAACTACTCTGCTGTCTGCTTGCTACTTAGCTTACTCGCACACTCTTTGATCCCTAAGGTTGAAATAATACGTTCCCTCGAAATTAGGGTAAACTTGTACAGACTACGGATCGTCACATCCCTGAAGGTACCACTCCTCATCGTCACAGCCATGAGAACCTCAGGTCTCACATAAAGATGCCTATGAAATACGAATAACATTTATTGCACATGGAGAAAGCCGTCTTCTGGAATGTGGAGCCGTGTATGTAATGTGTTAGCCGACGTTCCTCGGAAACGTCGGCTAACACGATATCTATATGGCGCCACATCCCAGAAGACGGCTTTCTTCATAGTCACCGCCGTGAAATTCTTAGATCTTGCATTTATTGCACAGATTACAAACACATCATACACAAAAAAAAATCCAAATTTCAGACGTTATCAACGGATGGCATTGGGAAAATGCGAACAGTAACCTGTTAACATATAAAACTGAAAGCTTTAGACCGTATACATTAATTAAAAATGTGTCGGTAAGTTGAACACAATTTAAGGACGCTGTAGACAGGAAGCGCCGGTCACTGTAGCCGAACGGTCTAAGGCATGTACTGTCTTCGCTCGCTTGGAAACTGGGATCGTGGGTTCGAATTCCACTCAGGGCATGGATGTTTAGTTTTTGTGTGTGCGTTTTTCTGTGTTTGTGTACAGGTAGAGGCCTTGCGACCAGCTGATCACCCGCCCAAGGAGTCCTACCGAATGTGTAAGATCTAGAAAAACCGAAGTGAACGGAGAAGTTCATGGAGGTAGGCCTAGGTCCACTGAGGCTGTAGAGCCAAAGAAAAAAACAGGAAGCAGAAAATCCCAGGTTCACACAGCAATACATGTTAATGTTACAGACTTCTTGAAGGCGAAGCAATGTACATGTAGTTTGTTGACATACCGGAAGAGAGAAAGATAGATGAATGTTGTATCAAAGAACTGCACTGCATAATATCGAATCCAGCCATGCCGGACTCAAGTTCTTATTATCACAGTGGGTGGCTGCACCTACCTCACACACTAAACTAACCAACCAACTAACTAGCTAGCTCCATGGAGCGGAGCCTTGCTTGAGAAGCCGTCAGTCACTTAGCTACACGAGAACTTCATAATATATTGTGGAACCCACAAGTTTATTACCGTATTCACAAGAGCTCTAAGCTGGTCCCTATCCTGAGCCAGATCAATCCAGTCCATACCACCACATCCTATCACTCTAAGATCCATTTTAACATTATCCACCGACTTTATCTCCAAATTCCTGCCACTTTATCCTCCTTCGGTCAAATATTCTCCTCAGAAACCTGTTCTCAGACATCCTCAGACTATCAAAATTACTGTGGTTTTGGACTTTTTCCATCGTCCCGTATTCTAGAAAACAGAAAACACGACGTTTCGGAAACCGAATCAGCTTCCGTCCTCAAGTGAGTGGGGAAGACACCTACTCAGTTCGGTCCCTTAGAAAGACCTAACCTCAACCACTTGACGTTTCGGAATCTACCTTCAGTCATGTTCCTCCCTTAATATCAGAGACCAAGTTTCACACACATACAGAATCGCAGGCAGAATTATAGTTTTGTATGTTCTAATTTTTACGTTTTTAGACAGCAGAGAAGAAGATAAAAGATTCTGGACTGAATGGTAGCAAGCATTACCCGAATTAAATTTCGTCTTAACTTCTTCCTGAATCAAAGTTTGTTACTCTCATTCCATAATATTTTAAATGCCACATTTTAAAAGGATCTGTTGGCTGTCTTCATATCAGGCTTATGCCCTGCATTCTGGTGACGAGACAACAACATGTACTTAGTTCTCTCTGTGTTTGCTTCAAGGCTAACCTCCTCACTAGCGTCAATTAAAGTTTTATGGTTTTCTTTATGGTATCTGTATTACCTCCGAGTAGGTTCACATCATCAACATAGACCAGCAGCTGATGTGAATTGTTAGGTCCTGCAAGGGAGCAGCCTTACGCACACTATGTCCCCAAAATCTCAGGCCATAGGAAACTGATTATTTGGCAAAATGCTGCAAATTAAAAAAAAGGAAAAGCTCTTTCCATTCTCAGGATATGGAAGTTTTATTTAGGACGAGCCGTTACGGCGATGTTGCGAAGATGACATAACGACGGAAGCAGGATATATTTTCAGGACAGATGGAATCGGGAGTGAAGCAGATACTAACTTGTAGTTCTGGAAATTTATGTCAATGACGAGATATCCTGACGTAAGTCTTCGCCCTTACAGGGCCCAACAATAATACATGGCTTTACCTAATGGGTTCGAATAAGTGCTAATTCCACTGTTTTCCATATTTTTACATAAATACGGAGATAGAATGGAGATCCGAAATGTTGTATGCAGAGTTTTTGCTTCAGGCAACTGATAATATACATGAAACATTCTTACGTCGTAAATTGTTGGCACTGAACTTCTATATCTTTGGTACCAGCAACATTGTATGCATGTAACTGTTTAAGAAATATCATTTGTTTCAGGTCCCTAGTTTTGTTTACAATAGGAATATTTATAATCAAAAATATCAGCTGTTACACCGGCCTCATCATATATGCCTCGTACCACGACTGTGATCCACTGAAGGCTAAGGTAATTGTACTTTAAATGTACACGCATCGACTTTGTGTTCCAGTAGAAGTACAATAATAGAACAAACAGTTTAAAGTGTCGAACATTAGGAGTGACAGTGGTATAAAGTAATTCCGCAGAATTAACTTTCCTAAGACTAACGTTGAATTTTTCAATGGTGCAGATGCCCAAACTACTCAGTAGCGGTGATAACTGAAATTTCCGTGTTGGTTATCAGAGAAGATTTCGGCTAGTTTGAAGTAAAGAACAGAAAGCCGACAGGAAAGAAAGGTGAAAAAATAAGGTTTCATATCACATAATTTTATAGCTAACAGGACTGGAGTTATTACATGTTGTTCAAAAAACTTTAAAATTACCTCGTAAACAAGAAATTCCAGAAGATGCAGACGGTTTCGATTGTCGGTGTATAACTCTCGGGATTATTGAGTTTTTTTACATTGTCTATCGTCCTCTATTCTAAACAATACTAAAGAACATAACTTTTGGGAAACTGGATCCGGTTCCTTCTCTGGGTGAAGGGGCGGGAGACGCCCACTTTGTCGAGCCCGTTAGGAAGGTCTAACCCGGATCACTAGGCCGGACGATGGACATAGTCCAAAAATCCAGTAACCCTGAAGGAATTCCAGGTAGAACAAAAAACATATTTTCTACTGCATACGTCCCATCTTGCAAACCTTGTAGTCTTAATAGTTTCACTCAATACTTCAAACTTACAATTAAAACATAGAATTAAATTTATCTCCCACGCTAGAGTTGTGGTCTTGTGTGCGTATGGTCTTAAGATAACAGAATAAAATATTTATTATTTCTAACTGTTAAGTTACTACAGATAAGTAGTACTATCAGGATAGCAGTAATATTTTCTTTGCTGGAAGAACTTTTTAGGCCTAATTAAGTACATGTTTTGCATGCTGTAAAAGTTTTGAGTTTAATATCGTCGCCATGTTTGGAATTGTTGACTGGCAAACAAGTTATTCATACACACTTTATAGGTAACATATAAGATATTGCGAAGAAGTTAATTAATACAAATACTTCGTTTCTGGACACTGTGCATCACCCGGAGATTGGGAATAGCTCCATCGATTCATCGATAAGGCCCATGTGACTAGATTCCACCTGAAGACGGAGATAGAATCCAGTCTTTGAAAAGTTGTGTGTTTTCATTAAAAACAAGACGATGTGTAATGTCCAGAAACACAATATTCGTGCAATTTGTAGGCACGTTTTTAGTGCACCGCCATACAAACTTTCACATGCCATATCCAATGACTCAGTAGGTACCGGCATGGAACCTCAAACTATAAGATCTTGTTTTACATCTTGCAAAATATTACTTTAGCAAAAGTGTAATATTTTTCAAAGACTTATTAACATATATAATTTTATAATCTTGCATTACGTGAAACTAATAATGTCCCACTTATTCATCAAATTAAAATGTACGGAGTTTGGCTCGCCTCAAATGGCACAACATTCATGCCGCATACAGTGAAAATCGGTAAAGTGTGGTAGGCACACAAACAGCGTGATGACCTCATAAGTCTACTTTACACTAAAATATTTGTAAGACATGTTTAGCTCTATTATTTATCCCATGCTTTCCTACTTCAGATTAACAGAACATTTACTTATCATTTCCCAGTGCTCAATCCAACCATGCAAAAGTGAATTCCCTTAATCGAGCCACATATCTGGCTGTTTTGTTTACAGTTACCTCAGCAAAACAATTCCGTGCTCAAGCATTATAACATGGAGGGGCACATAAAGAATATCCGATATTTGCCGAACCTTAAAAATTTGCAGATGACCGGTAAATAAAAATGACTGAAGCTCAAAGTGCAAGGGTTGTATCTGCTGGTATAAGGTTCTCTGGCTATCAAGTCCTCCATAATTTGACGATAAGAAATTTCTCTTCCCTTTTTGAAACATTCTCCGTTCAGTAAGTAAGCTTATCCATTTTCGAACTATGTGCACTATTTCCTGTTCCACACTTGTAGTTACAGAGGTAGATAGGAAACATCTAGTGTATTGAACTCTACTCCTTATCCTAAGGAAACACAGGGCTCTGTTTAGCGGGTTCCTGTCTCTTGAATAAAGTCCTGTTAAATTGTAGCCCGTCTGTATAGCTAGAGAGCAAGAATATTGTATGCAAGAATGTGCTTATGTCCATGAAGATGACGACTTAATCGGCTAACTGCGGATGCAGCAGGTAAACAGGGAGTCGAGGTTAGTTTATTCCCGTGTTTAATGGCACGTCATGAAGAAGACACGTGAGGGAGTAGATATACACGTATATATTCAAGCAATCTTAGCTTTTGCAATAGATACAAATGAACGGTCATCACCGTTCTCTGGTCAGTCTAATGCCGGCATCCTGCATTCAAGGTGGGCCCTAGAACCAGTCTTGGCTTGGTAGAGAAGAGAATAATTACTGCTATTCCAGGAAATTTAATACCGGTAATAACTTTATTTACTGCCTTGTCCCGGATCATGAGAGAGAGACTTTGCATCAAATTTCCTGAAAACGTTTGGTGACACCATTTTTGTAGAATTGTTTTTCATGCAGTCACTTTTGTTCTTAAATTCCTGTCGTCTCAACCCAAAGAAGTTAACCACACAGGTAGACACCAATCTTGGTCAACTCCAGTTATACAGACTGAAATTTTTTGAGACAAAAAGGTATTCTTGTCTTCAACCAACAGAAGCAGCCCCCTTTCGCTTGGGACACGATTACTCCCCTTGTCAACATAACAATAGAAGCTTAGAGAAGAAACAATACTCAATTTAAGAAACTACAGTGAGACAAGGAATGAGAATTTTAATCGTATCCAAAACTTCCACCGAAATACAGTGGCACTAACAGGCTTGGTATCGTACATTCTGCCAAATGTACGGAATAGATTCCATGTTATTTTACCTGTTCTGTGTTAGGCCCGTCGCAGGAAAACTGAGAAAGATTACTAACATTTCCATATACTCCATATTAGATAAGAGCATTAACAATTACAAAAAAAAAACAACGAACTTTAAGCTCAGAAACCGTTGATCAAGCCAACTGTTTTCCTCGTCAGGTGATTCAGCGACAAGACCAACTTGTGCCATATTACATAATGGATGTAGCTGCCACGGTGCCATGTCTTCCTGGTCTGTTCGTGGCCGGCGTGTTCAGTGCAGCCCTCAGGTACTACTGCATTTCTTACAGTCAGGATAGTTCGTGGTCACCAAGTGCAGGGCAACTACTGACTTATCTAGTCACGATCCCTCACAATTTGAAAAGTTGCGGAATTTACAGACCTTCCAACGCGGGGGAAAGAACGAAAAACATGAAAAAAAAAACCGAGGTCGTGTTAAATAAGAGCAGAAAGTTGTGAGACTTCTATGGCGTATGCCTATTCTCCACCTTCCTTACGACTTCTATTCACTTTTTATTGTAGATGTAAATAGAGATCTCCATCTTTTCATCCACCCTTCACAGAATTATTGTCGGACAAGAATTTCGGCAGTTCTAAACGTAGAATGGCTTACTAACTTGTTTCTGATTAAGCTAATTTGTATTCTTCTGTATTATTCTGTACTTGTTGTTAAGCACACCAGAAATATAAATTAACTTAGGCATGAAACATGTCTAAAAGTAAGTAAAGCTATCCCTGTACCAGGCCGTGGAGGCCCGTAGGGTTGTGAGACGTTGAGGTTACCACATTTTCTAGACAATCGGCTCATAGACGGCGGCAAGGTTATCAGCCCTACGCGCCGGCCGCCTTTTACCCCCAAGAATACTCCAAGAATGCGGTAGCGTAGTTGGTTGAGACACTATGCTACAAGCCGCAAGGTCACGGGTTCAAGTCCCGATGAGTTCATTGGATTTTTCTTTCAATTGATCTAATCCTTCCAGCTGCACTATGGCCCTGGGGTCGACTCAGTCTCTAACAGAAATGAGTACCAGGAATGAAACATGTCTATGCTTAGAATATTTATTTTCTCTTATTAGAGACACAAACATATTCTTGACTAAGTTGACTAGTAAATGATGGATACGCTAACTTTTTCTTTGTATTTAACATCAAGAATGACTCTCTTTTGTTAGAATCTTTGATGTACTTCTATTCTCGACGGCAAATAAAATCAAGAACCTTGGATAATTTTTAATTCCTATTTTATTGCAAATGCAGGTCCAAGACATGAGGTCCTGGTGCGTTTTAGTGGGATTTTGATTTATAATTTAGAAGTTCCATAAGAATATGGTACTAAATATTATTACTTATTTTCGAGTCCTTCATATTTTGTTTTACTCTTCTGACAGGAACAAGCGATCAAAATTCGTCAAAGTAAAGTATTGTGATTACTGTTGAGGGCATAATTACTTTTCGTCTTACCTTCGCACATCACCAAAAGTCATAAAATTGTTACGCGTTTGTGAGGTTCATATTTTGTGTTACGTAATAATTAATTGTAGGAGAAGAACTGTTAGGAAATAATATTGTTCGACTAGAAATTTGTGCACGTCCTATGCCCACTTACTGACAGGTGAAAACTGTGCTTACTGCTTGTTTTAACGATATATAACGCAGAATTTCGTTGTGGATTTCATTTCGTTTCCAGAACAAAGCGCAACTTTCCCTACATATCATAAACTGACTTATCTTCTGATGAAGTTGCGGTGCCTGTTTCTGCAAAGTAAGAAAGTTCTTTAAATTTGATTTACTTTGGATTTGCTTTACAAAGGGTTAACGTTATCTATTTATTCTTAAAACAAAATCAACTGATTATTTTTATCTAACCTTGTTTTGTGCCGATTCGGTGCATTCAAATATTGAACTAAAAACATAGACCTGAAGCAAATGAAAACATTGAACACAGAATACAAAACAAAACGTTATAGTACAGGACATAAAAAGAACGGAAGTCCCAGATGGCAAAAATATGTAATTCACTGGATGCTAACTTTAACAAACAGGGTGGGAAACATTCCAGTGATGCTTAGATGCAATTCTTAAGGAACAACTGACAACTGTACGTGATTTCGGAAACCTGTTAAAGTGGGGTTTCCCAAGAAAAGGGAAAGTAGCCTTCCTGTATATTAATTTCTTTCTTTTCTCTCCACTTTATTAGTTCCATGGCCAGCGCTCTCAACTCTCTGGCAGGTACAATGTATGAAGATTTCATTCGTCCCTGTATGAAATACAACGTAACGGAGAAATGTGCCAGTTACATCCTAAGACTGGTCGTCATTGTTATAGGCACCATCTGCGTGCTCATGGTGTTCGTGGTGGAGAAGCTTGGCGGGATTCTGCAGGTAAAAACAGCCGTGCTTAATTTCCTTCGGGCTGGCGCTCTTCCGGTATTTGAGTCACGGTGTAACTACTGGAAACCTCATCCTCTGTTCACAGCTTGCATACACCACAGGAGGAGTAACATCAGGGGCATTTCTGGGACTGTTCTCCCTAGGAATATTCTTCCCTAGAGCAAACTCTAAAGTAAGTGACTTTCCTCAGTTCTCTGTGTTCTGCTTGAGTTTCCAAACTTGACCTCGAAAACATTTGAAACTATGTGAGAAAGTTTTAAAACGTGACTAGTTTTTCCAAAGACAAGAAAGTTTAACTTTCATAACTCATATCTTACTTGAAGTATCAATTAGTTTAGTAATAAATTTGAAAGTCTGTGTCTATTAACTTTGCTAGTTAAAATTCCACTGTGACTGCATTTCGTTAATTCTGTCACTCGAAATTCCGCCAAGAATAAATATGCAATAAATAATAATTTTACACAGTAAAGTCCAATTTAAGCCATTCAGGTAGCTGTGTAATTATTTACAATGTACAGCTGAAGAATTTCACATATCAATACCACCAGACGCATGTAAAATCATCACACATCAATACCATCAGTAGCATGTAAAATCATCACATATCAATACCATCACAAGCATGTAAAATCATCACATATCAATACCATCACAAGCATATAAAATTATCACATTAGCACACCATTAGAAGCATGTAAAATCATCACATATCAATACCATCAGAAGCATGTAAAATCATCACATATCAATACCATCACAAGCATGTACTCGTAAAATTACCACATATCAGTACCATCAGAAGCATGTAAAATTATCACATTAGCATACCATCAGAAGCATGTAAAATTAAGCTTACTCGTTCATGAAATAAATTATACAAACATAAAAGAGTTTAGTTGCAAAATCGGTTTGGCAAAAATTAAATGAGGATGCTTCTTTAGCCGAAAAGAGCAATATTTACGTCAATATAGACTCTACTCCGTCTGGAAGAAAGGAGACGGAACACTGCGAATGGAATGATCTGATTTGGGACAGAACTCACCAGCGAACTCATGGGGACACGGTGATGACAACAGCTTCTTCAGAAGCAAGGGCACTTTTATGACTGAGCGAATATTAGCTATTGAAGGGCTATGTTCCATGGAATTATTAAGAACTTATTCGTAAATGTATGTAATAAAATATAGTATTAATAGGCATGCATTAAGGGAGGGACATAGACTGAGTGTGTCTGAGAACAGGGTGTTGAGAATATTTGGACCGAAGAGGGATGAAGTGACAGGAGGTTGGAGAAAACTGCATAATGAGGAGCTTCATAACTTGTACTCTTCACCAAGTATAATTAGAATGATTAAGTCAAGGAGAATGAGATGGAAAGGACATGTAGCCAGAATGGGGGAGGATATTGTTGGGAAAGCCAGAAGGAAAGAGACCGCAGGGAAGGCCAAGGCGTAGGTGGGTGGACAATATTAAACTGGATCTTAGAGAGATAGGATGGGATGGTATGGATCGGATTGAGCTGGCTCAGGATATGGACTAATGGAGAGCTCTTGTGAACAAGGTAATGAACTTTCGGGTTCCATAAAATGCTGGGAAATTCTTGAGTAGCTGCAGATTTGGCTTCTCCTCAAGAAAGGCTCAGCTCCATAAGTAAGTAAATTTATAGACATGCTCCTTAAACCTCGTCCTTAATCCATCCATCATTAATGAGGACAAAACACTTCACTGTGAATTCCTTCCATGTTTGTATTGACATTTGCCCTAGTGTCATTCCTCCTTGCAGATTTTGTTTTATAAGTTTTGATTTCAGTAACTCAATGAGACTTATATCTGCTGTTAGGGAGCGCTGACAGGAGCTATTGTCAGCTTGCTGACTCTTAGCTGGATTGCAGTGGGAGCCCAGAATGCAATTGCTACCGGCAATATAAAGCATAAGACACTTTCCACATCTATTGAGGGGTGCAGCTCCTCGAACGATACTATACCAACAGTAAACCCCGTAGAGTAAGTGTTACAGATTCTTATTTCATTAATTAACACTATGCAAATATCTTGAACTCTGCTACTTGAAAATATTTCTGTGTTTGTCTACAGATCCACCTTCCTTCAAGTGTCTTTCGAGATGATTATGCAGATGTTAATGTTAATGCAATATGTGTTGAAATTATGGGGAAGTGACTGAGGAAAATGTCCCAATATTATTTTTCAGAGGCCGAGGGAAAACCACAAAATAAAAGCTGCATTGTCGGCCTCTAGAACCTGGACACAAGTATTTGTCGTGGTAGGGCAATTCATGCTTTCTTTGGGGGTCATTAAGCCTCGAAATTTTCACAGGCCAATAAAAATAACAAATAAAATTTAATTTATCTAATAAGTAGTTCAACCTCTACTCATTCGGAATGTTTATCTATATTACAGGATATGGTCTACAATTCCGAGCACAGACCGTTATCCATATGTCTTTTCTTATTTAGTATATGTGGTTTTTACTGCTCTACTGCAGATACAAATATAATACAACATTTTCTCCTCGGTGAAGACAACGTATGGTCCTGTAGATTATCAACTTTCCGGGTGCATGTACTGCCCTTAGACATAACCCATAAGATCACTTTTTCTGAGTTGTGGCATGGCGCAAGGTCGTGTTAAAATGTCCCCTTACCATCTGCAAAGATCTGCAGGAAGAGTAAAATTCTTCTTTTAAGGATTTCGATGTACCTTGATAAATTCATCATGCCATCAACTGAAACTAGACTCCCAGGACCGCTTGAAGTGAAAACGCCCAAAAACATTTTTTAGAACTGCTTCTTCTGACAACATTTGCTCTGCAACCTTGAACAAAAAATGTGATTCATCACTGAAAGCCACTTCCTTCCAGTCATCAGTTGTCCACGATCTGTACATATCTGCGCATGCTAACCGTTTCTGCTTCATAGCAGGTGTCAACAGTTGCTATTTGATTGGTTTTCTTACCTTCCGCCCAACTTCAAGAAGCCTACGCCGTACAGCTGAAGCATCAGTGTCAATTCCTGAAGCCAATACATCTCTTTGAAGGTCCTTCCTTGTCATTGTTGGATGTAACCTACTGCTTCGCAACAGGAAAAGCTGATTAGTTTCAGGGGTGGCTTTTCGCTTTCTTCTGCATTTTCCTTTTCTGTTTTGAAAGAGTGATCTGGAATCCTGATATGCACAGAGAATTCTTGACACATTCGATCTTCCCACACCAAAACAGAGGCAGTGATTTTCACAGTCATTGATATGTTTTTTCCCTTATCTTCGGAGTATTGCTCATTTTCACACAAACAAAAATTATCCCAGCGTTCAAAATCAACACACATTTGTGGAAGACAAAACTTGTCAACTGATGAAGCGACAACCTTTCCCGTCAGAATCAGTCAGAACCGGTTTGCACACAGGTTCCTATTCTTCAAGGTCACTCTTTAACAAAACCCGAGGTAAACAACCCGGTTTTGACTATCTGCAACCAACAGCACTTTATTTCGAGTGCCTGTCCCAAATAATTTGCACACTACTATAAGAAGTATTCTCAAAATTCACACACCGTTATAGGTAAAGCAGTCAGCAGTAACAGCTGTAAACTAAATGCACTGAAACTAACATCTCGGTCGACTAACACTCCCGCTTTTTAACCGGAGCTGCTGGTTCTGATCTCGGTCTACACAGCGACTCTCCTGACTAAGGTCTTGTCCGATTCGCCTCACATCCTGAAGACAAATCCTGAAATGCTGTCACAAATTAATCCAGAACTGCTTTCTTCCACGTCCTTTGAGTCTCAAGAGCCTACTCTTAATTAAATAGCCGTGCCATAGCTCAGACAGCTAGTAGCCGGCTTCCTACCGCGTTGGCCCTGGTTCGATCTCAAGTCGGATCATGTGGGATTTGTGTTGGACGAAGTGACAATAGGGCAGATTTTCTCGAGTACTTTGGTTTCGCCATCCAGTTCTCATTTCACCCGATGATCCATACTCACCTGTCATCTGGCGCTGGTACAACAGGCTAATTAGCGGCAGATATACCAAGTTGACTCAGTCTCACATCATCCCTCGAAGTTAAAAATAAAAACATAACTTGATCTGATTTTCAGGTAAAGCCTTTGAATGCGCTAAAAACAAAATAATACATGTATTTTGTTGAAGAAAGCAGTCTTCTTGGATTTGGCACCGAGTATATGTGGTGTTAACCGACGTTTCGGAGGAACGTATCGCCTCCATCTTCAGAGTAGAAGAAAAAATATAAGAAATCTGCAAAGCGAAGAGACCATGAGAACCGGTAAAAGCAGACTGTCGGTTAACACCACATATACACGGTGCCAAATCCCAGAAGACTGCTTTCTTCATAGTCACCGCCGTGAAAGCCTCAAATCTTACATGTATTTTGTTATTTATAATTAAGTAAAATCCAAGCTAAATAATTTCAATTAATGTTCATAACACGTTCTTAAAGAGATGGAAATATAAAAATAACTTAATGGACATATTTCCTTCTTTACGAAACGTTCAGAGAATTCAGTAGCAGAATCTCCTAATAACAGTTTACTAATACAACACGATTCTTGTCTCACAGGTCTCCACCTGAAGGAGCTTTCGTCTTGTTCCGCATCTCCTTCATGTACTACACCATGCTTGGGTCATTCATACTGCTAGTAGTTGGAATGGTCGTTAGTCTGCTAACGAAACCAACCGATCCTCAAGATCTGAACCCTTACCTGTTTGCCCCATTTCTCCAGAAGTACGTTATGAAGCTGAAAGAAGAGGGACGCAAGAAGGATCCGACTGAGACGGAGTTTCTCAACATGTCACCCAAGGAAAAGACTTCGTTGACAGAAGAAGACTGAATCTACTGCAGATATGAAGTCTTGTAATTAAAATAAGTTTTCTGAAAAACTTGCGATGCCTACGTTCCTTCAAATATTTCAATACTTTTTGGCGAAGATAGAAAGTGAAATGATTAACGATTTTACAGTCCACTGATCAATTTTGTGAATAATTTTAATAAAAACCTGCAGACTGAGTCTACGTGCCTTCGATATGGTCTGTAATTTTTAACATATAAAATATATTTCTTAAAAAATGTTCGGATATGTTTTTGATCTATCTCCATATAATTTTTCATATGCGTTCATTATTACGTACATCCATCTAAAAGCTAAATGAGGACCTAAGACAAGGCAGACATTATGATTAATTATAGCCTAAAAACAGAATATGAAGATTACTCTGTTCTGGAAGGTGACGCCGTTTGGTCTGATATATGTTTACAAACTTTTGAGAAGAATGTGCTGCCTATATCTGCAGAGGACAGTAGTAAATTTATGTCCCTTCTTTCTCCATTTTTTGTTTTAAGAATAGCGACAGCACGTTTCTCCGAAACGTCGGTAAATATCTACCAGAATACATAGTCACAGCTCAGATTACATTAATCCTCACAGTCACCATCGTGAGAAGCTCAAATCTTATCAAAGAAAATTCCTTCACAAGAACAACTTATACTAAGATGATATATTATCACACGGAATTTTAAAACCCTTCATCAAGTGGAACTATTGACGTTCGTAAAAAAAAGTAAAAATAAAGCTATCCCTGGAACAGGCCGTGAAGGCCCGTAGGGTTGGGAGACGTTGAGGGTCCCACATTATCTAGACAATCGGCTCACAGATGGCGGTAAGGTTGTCAGCCTTACGCGCCGACCGCGCTTTACTCCCCAGAAAAATTATTTAATTATTTCCTTGTACTCCGTTTTGTGAATATCAGTCAGTTTGTTGAGATGTCATGACAGACAGGAGACACACAGAGGTGATATAACACTGTATTTCCTTATAAAGAGAATGCATAAAATAAAATAAAATATGTGAATAAATTAATAAAATGCGTTGATGTTTAATTATTAACACTTCAGGTCTGCTACAAGAGCGTATGTTAAATCGGGTATAGCTTATGCCGTCATATTCTGTTCACGATTTATTGAAGACATTGTCAGCAACTTAGGCTACAATATGGCGTCGAAAGGTAGTATGTTCTCTGAATAAGGAATTGGAAGAGACACGGAATTATGCAATAAATTCTGATCGTGAAGGAAGGAAGCTAATACACGTACCTGTGATGATTCAGAGTGCAAATACATGATGACGATTGTATATCATTTAGTCAAATTCTATCAAGTGTGAGAATGCGGATACTCGAGTGAAATGTAAGAATGTTAGGAACGGCGAATCGGGAGAGACGAGTGACAAAGAGGCCATGGTCTACTTAAAAAACTGTCAGGAAAAAGGAAGTAAATCTAAAAAGAAAACCAAGAATTATAATAACATATTCCCCATTCAAATTTCTAAACTGGCACCACTAGAATATAAGTCACACTCGTCAGAGGAAAAACCAAGATTATGTCACGTAGATTTCGGCTCTGGGATTTAACATGAAACGTGTATGAGAGAGAATTGTGTGTTTTAAGAGAACTGGTAGTTGATGTACACTGCAGGCATACGTGATAAGCGTAAACAAGAGGAAGAGTATAAGCTGCGTCAGCTTGACGCTGTCTCTCTAGGCGATGCATCTGTAGCTACAATCCTGTTCCCATGATGTACAAGCGGCAGTCACATTGTGTACACTGCATCCCAGAAGTTGGTGAGGTCAGGTTTCCGTAGGTAAGCAAAACGTACACATGTGTAGACAGGACGTTCGCTTGAGCGGTTAGAGTTCAGACGTTTTCTGCCCTTTCAGATGCACCGTATAACCTCAATTACTGCGTTATTGAAAAATTGAGAAGCATGGAAATAACAAGCCTGAAATATATGTCTCTATCCACCCTTTCAATTCCGTACTTTTCTAACATAATTTTTTTTTTGTTAGTCGCTATCTGCACTGTTTAAAGTCAACAAATCTGTACAAAATTCTAAAAGACGAGAAATGTTTCATTTCGCTGGCAATGTTAAAATGAAACACATTCCACGGTGAAAATAACAGTGCTTCAAAATGTTATCCCTATTTCAGAATCTGAAATGACAACTGATAATAACCAAAATGATTTTGTGTTGATACTCATCTATACTCATCTATCATCTATTGATCTCATCTATTTCATACAGGATACTATCTAATGAAAGGAAAAACATAATATTCCGGTGCGTAAATTCCTTTCCTATGAGCTGTAACATTGATTTTGGAAAACCGGCGGGAGCTCTCTGTCTCGAGAGCGGTTATGGGGCACGCAGCACACCATCACCCGAAATCGTTGGATGGAGTTGTCACTCAAACTATTTCCAGTTTAGAATCACCGTAGGATGACCAGATCGCCAGTTTTGTGCGTTATTACTGAGCACCGCTGACAAAATTCGTGCGTTCACATCTCAAAGAAGGACGTGAGTCTTTTAGCGCGCTCATTACTCTTAAAGATTTAATCTACAGCTGCAATTACTCAATTTATTTGCAATTTGCTATTTTAGTACATTTATTCACAATATTGTGGAGAATAATGTACATCCGTTATGAGCTGCGACACATATAGGTAATTAATGCAGTAGTAATGTTGCCCCTGTGCATAAACACCACTATGCCACGAAGGGTACACGGGGAAGGAGTAGAAAGAAAGTGTCACACGATCCAATTCGAGGTTCTTCACACAGAGCTGACCCTCCTGCCTCTTCGCCTCAGGCAAAGATCACACGGTACTCGTTGTTAGGTTGGAGAATGCGGGTTGTATGCTTAATTACTCGTAGTTGGTAGCATGGGGGAGACGTCTTCGGAAAGGAAAGCAGCAAGAATACTATTTGCTTCGCCATGTCTGTCTGTCTGTCTGCATGTACAGCACGAGAATCGCCAAACGAATTGGTATTAAATTAAATAAAAAGGATTTTCACGGACATGTGAAAATAAATTCCGACTGCCGTTAAAATTGAACAAAATAACGGACAGCTTATGTGAGAATCTACATTAATTCTGCGCGCATGTAATTAATACTTATCGAAGCAAACAGTATTCCAGAAAAATATTGTTCAGAAAAATACGATATAATTCATGTCCTATGTATGTTTTCTGCAATTCTTTTGATCATCGATACAAAAGGCAGAGAACGCTCCAGAACTGTTACACTATGTATACATTTCCTAAATTACTACTTATTATATAATTTGTTAATTTTCGTGTATCTACACTTTAATTCAATAATTCTAGTAAATTTACATCCCGTGGAATTTATTTAGCAACAATCTTACAACACTTAAACTTTTAAGGGTTGAATATGACGTCTGTTTTGACCGTTTCGAATATAATATTCTCCCTGTAGAGACCGGTATGCACGGGAAGTAGTACAGAGGACATTGCGAGCCCCACCGATCACTAATCACAACTCAGTGTGTATTCTCAGAGCCCGTGCTTCATAGAGAGACTTCAGTATTTATTCACCTTCCGTCTGCTGCAGAGTCGTCATCATGGAGTCGACCAGACAAAACCATTTTCTATGCAGCTAATTAGAGTGGTTTAGTTTTTGAGAGAGGGAACAGAAAGATTAATATTTCTGATCCACATAGGATTCCGAATAACATTTGAATATGTCAAGAGATTGAGAGACATCTAAATAACAATAATTCCTATGAGACAGTAGCAGTTACATTAGTAATTAACGGAGATGTTTGGGTTCTTACATGATCCTCCACACAGGATTCCAAGAGCAGTTTTTCAGAGTTTACCTAGTTTAATTTTTGGTTCTCCTACGTATTTCTTTTTCCGCATCTATCGAAAGGTACCCTGGGCAGCAGCCCCTATATTCTTCCCAATTTACCACTTATAATCTTATCACTTATTTTTGCTTCTTTCCTCCCGATCCATCGTTCACAAATACAAGGTTTCAGGATAAAAGGTATCCAAAATAAAATCACTGTATTTCACAAAGAATTTATTATATAAATTAACGGGTTACACCATTACAAAGGAAAAATATCAAAGTGTTTTTCTGCGTATGTAACTTTCTCAGTAAATTTAAATGTGGGCTCCCTTGGGGGCACGATATATATCAAGACTTCAAGCATGTTTAGTGTTACCGTAGCCACAGCGTCACTTATGTGGGCTTTCAGGTGTTGAAGATCGTTGATCTTAACCTGGTAGACTATGTTCTTCACATAACTCCACAAGAAAAAATCCACTGTGGCGACCTAGGAGGCCAAGCGACTGGTCCACCTGTGCCAATTCATATCCCAGCCATCTCTCTGTCCAGGTGATTCCTAACATGGTGGCAAAAATGTGGAGGCGTATGCGGGTAAGCTGGATACAAAAAAAAAAAAAACTTACAGAATTTTCCTTTCCGATGTCATAAACCGGATACGTGTATGAAAATTAGTTTCCGAGATTTTTTATACCTTTCATCCGGACACCCTATGTTCTAATTTACAAAGATATTTTCAGTTATCACAATCTGTATCCTAAGAGAACGCGTATACAGCTTTCCTGTTACAGCTCCAGAGAAATTACGTTGGTTTATAAAAGATGTGAAATCGACAGTTGCCTATTTTAATGTTCTATTTCAACATTTTTCTTTCAGGGCTTGGATGAACTTGCGAAAACTGCTACTGAGGACACACATTCTCCAGACCAAGATCTGAACACATTACCTCCCGAATGTAAAGCGGGAATGCTAGCCACCTGGCCGTGACAACAACGAAGAAGATTAAAGAAATTATGGGCAGGAGATCCACTTGATGGTTGAAGAGGATCTCTCATGGAGGAGCCCTCATCACGATACAATAAGCACACAAGGACGGTGTTTAGATTAGCAAATTAACTTAAAGAATATATTTAATTCTGATTGCTAATAAATATATAAATGTTCAGAGCTGAATTAGAAATAGTTATATCTATCTTAAACCTCTCCAAGACGCATGCGCTTTGGTTGGAGAGACCAGTGCGATTGTCGTGAATATTCCTGAATTTCATAATATTGTAGGCTTTGAGGTTCATACGGCAGTGGCTACGAAGAGTTCCATCTTATGGCACAGTCCGTTGAAAGTCAATCCACGTTTCGGAGGGACATGCTGTCTCCTTCTTCAAGGTCGAAAAATACGTCAAGAAGGAAACCAGCATGAAGTAG